AAAAAAAAAAATTACAAAGAATGATGGATTACTCTAAATCAACTGATACATATATTTAAAATCATTTCATTTCTATTAAATTTTAAAATTTTTAAAAATTATTTCAAAATTTTATCAATTATTTTGAAATTTTCAAAAAAAATTATTCTAAAACTTTGTTGGAATTATTCATTGAATGAAAATATTTTGTAATTTTGAAAATTTTATAAAATAATTAATTTAAAAATAAATTTTCATATATCATTAATAATTTTTTTTTTTTTTTGCTATATTATGCTATGTGATGTAAAATTTTTATAACTAAAAAATTCAAATGATAGATTAAATTTTGCACAAATAAGCAATTAATTTTTTGATCATGTAATTAATTAATTAATTAATTAATTAGCTTAATTAATAGTATAAATTTCAGTTTTCTTCTTTTTTTTTTCCCGTCTATCACGATGAATTTAACATTACTAACTGCAAAACATCTACTTATTCTCTGTTGCAATGGTGGTGTACCATTCATCGATTTTCATACTCAATCAAATCTTAGAGGAAAGCATAAATTAACACAAATTATTGATCCAACTGATTGGATTGCTGTGGATACATCCGGTTTGTGTTGCATTTCCTTATTTATCCGGTTTGTATTGTATTTGCTTATTTATCCGGTTTATTGATTGTTTACCTATCCGGTTATATATTTGTTGAATGCTTCTTTTTTTTTTTTATTTCATGCATTAATAATTATCTATTCTTATTAGCAATTAATATTTTTAGTAATTAATGCTAATTAATATAGTTTATTAGAAATAATTTTTAATGCTTTTTTTGCCTTTTTTTTTCTTTTAGTAAAGTTACACTAATAATTTAACTTATTTGAAGACAAAATTTTCCCTTTTTTTTTTAATTAATCATTTTAAAATTATCATTATCACCCAAGTTGATAATAATTATTTCAAAACTTTTCAATACATATTTTTAAGTAATTAATTATCTCAAGCTTAATGATATTTAGAATACAAATATGTCACCAATATTTTTCAGTAATTAATTATCTCAAGCTTAATGATATTTAGAATTAACGATAATTTCACTTTTCTTTAAATTTCTTTTATATGCTATTAGTTAACTTTTATTACTTTTTTTTTTTTAAATGAGATTTCATGAATGATTATTAAATGCTTCATGTTCAATTAAATAAAAATTTCATTTTCTTGATTTCTTTTTTTAATTAATTTTAATCAGCTTAATTTTTTTTTCTGTTAATTAAATAAAATAAATTATTTTACAGGTTCTGAGATTAATTTATCAATGATTAACTCATTAACAACACTACGCACACCATCAAATGTTAAATTAACCGCTTGTGATTTATTCAATTTAACATTTTTGGACATTCAAGATGAGGAATTATTTGAGAGCCGTAAAGGTGAAGTGAAATGCAGGTATGATAATTTGGCGCAATTTGTCTTCTAGCCAATAGGCTATTGCTTAAAAAGTTATCAACAATGTTGTGCTTTTCATTTATCAATTTCTTGC